AAGAACAGTTAGTTGACTGTATTCATACTCCATGAAGTCTTCAATGGAAACCCACACAATTTGAAAGTTCATCAGAGGACCTTCTGGAGAACTTGGCACATCTTTGTGCTAGGAATTTCCAGTCGCCCCATGTAGAGATAACTAACAAAGTCACAGATATTAGCTCACACTTAAAATCTGGTTTGATACTTTAATAATTAAGATATTAACCTGGGAAAAGTTCATCATGCATGTGTGTGTGTGTGTGTGTGTGTGTGTGTGTGTATGCTTAAGGTGGGAATTTTGCCAATCAAGATTGCTAAGCCTCTTATTTTTCCTTCCTTCATTGGAATGCTTGCTTTATTCTTTTGGATTAAAGAAAACAGCTATGTCCTAATGTTCATTCAATTTTAGGATAACCACAGAGGTTTCATGAATGTGAAATGCTAGTTACACGAATATGAAATGGATCTGTGATGAGGATACATGATAGAACAAAGTCCTAAAGGCATTTCACCTGGGACCTTAGCTTTCCTTCGAGAACATCAGCAAACAGTACAAAATTAATGTAGAGCACCATGCAATAGCTATACAGCTACACTAGGCTGATTTTTTTTTTCTCATTACAGAAAACCTAATTAGTTAAAGGGCAATTTAAATGAAACTTTTATTTTGAGGATTTAGAAGTATTAAAGCAAAGGGGGAAAAAAAAACAAACAAACCCTGCAGCTCTCTGGATAGCATGTTTACACGATTACTAATAACCCTTGGGTGGGAAATGATTAACCTTGTTATTTTCCTCACGATCCAGGTTTCTAAGTCAATTGGTACTGAACAAAAATATTTGGATGCTGTACGGAAAGCAACTTTTACAAGGTCTCCAACTGGCATCAAATGTTTTCAAGTATGAAAACATCTCTGGGCTTTCTCAGCAGACTGATGGATCCCCGCAGGTAGCACTTCCCTTGTTTAATAGTCTTGCCAATTAAATCAAATTAGAGATGAATTTTAAACTCTGTGATCAAGACAATGCTCATTATAAGAGAAAGCAGGAAAACAGTAGTTCCCTTAAGTGAACTATTATTTTATATTCAATAAATCAGAGAGAAGAGGGCAGACCAACATCGCCATCAATATCTTATGCTTTACATGTAGTCATGTCAGTCATCTGAAAGTAACTTGAGGCAGAATTGTTGAGTCAGATTCACAAAATGCTTTGCTCTCCCTTGTTGCTGTTCTAAGGAATATTTATTGACTAAAAAATTCCCAGATTTAAAGAATGGTCTTATTGTAATCTTTCTTATCACTAGATGATCTACCTTTAACCTCTGACTCATCTGTCATCTGCTTTTTAAGTGATGGTTATCCACACAAAGCCATTTGCATGTTAGGCCACTTCTTATTGTTCTAATTATGTTCTTTATATCATCCTGTTTAATAATTAGAAAAATCACTTGCTTTTCAGCCTAAGGATCGGCTAAGTTAGACGATAAGTTAGTTATCCCTAGAACAGAAACACCCATATCCAACCAACTATTAATTTGGATCATCAACATCAAAAGTGTTCACTTGGATAAAATTATAAATGTTGAATTAAAAGTACATGATACATTTTATTAAATAAATGAAACCCAATGAATTGTTATCACATCAGGTCAAGTAAAAACAGAGATCATAAGGCTCAAATGACTACGGCTCTATTTTGGGATTCATTAATTGCTGACAATATCACCAGTATTTTTTCAGCATGGCCAAAGCACATCGAAATGACCGAGTTTTATGTCAACTACCTTTAGGATGACTGGGAAACCTATTTGCTAATAGAGAGACAACAGCATGTACAAATGACCTTAATGGGAAATTGGTTTCCAAAACATTTTAGCAGATGATCGGAAAGGATGTCCACTCTGTCCATGCATTTGAACCTTAACCCAGGCATTGACAGCTTGAGATCTATACTGAGATCTATTAGGGCTTGGAGTCTTTAGTCATTGTGTATATAGCATATGTATGTCAACTTATGGTTACATACATCAATAATTTATGCACATAACATACATCATTCATTTTCCTTAAGATCTGCTTTGCTCATTGGAGTCTCCTGACTGCTGCATGTTATAATGGCATCTTCCTAGATACTTGGCAGGATTATGTTTATTGCTTCCATCTTTAAAAAAAATTTATTTACGCATTCAAGAACTAGGGTACAGGCCACAGGTATGGGGAGGTCCGGGGGAGGGGGTGAGAGGATTCACCAGAGATAGCAGGAAGCAGAACAGGCAGATATACTGAAATATACTGCCGAGGGGAGCAGTGGGCAAGACAGGAGAGGTCTGCTGTGCCATGTGGGTCAGCTCCCTGGCTGGGGATGGAACTCATGCTGAAGTGGCTGCAGATGGCTTCATAGTGCTGTGACTTAACCCCTGCATCACCGAGAGGCCCCAGCTTCAATCTTTGGATAAAGGGAAAAGCGTTGCAAAGACTCAAGCTTAGTTAAAAATCCAAGAAGTCCCCTCATTTCTGGCTTGTACCTTGGAAACCTCATTCCTGTGCACTCTAGAACAGGCAGTGAATTATCTGTGAGTGAATTCTTGCCCAGTGGAGAGGAATGGAATCCACTAGTGTACTCCAGGAGCACCTTCTAAGCCCACAAAGAAGGAATGTGTAATGCCATTAAAGCAGCCCAGAAGATACAATCATGCTTGATGGTTTTCCCATAAATCTCTTGACCTTGAAGCCAGGCAATAGGCAAGCTAATCATGTATGATATTGGCTGACCTCTGGAAGCTTGTGCCCCTTATTCACTGGAAAAAAAATCTAAGGAAAAAATCCATTGTACTCCAAGCCAGAGGCATAGTGAAAGCAGGGAGCGATCAGTTGCTTTATTCATTTGAGGGGGTGGGTATTAAGGAGTCAAATTTTCCTAGGTCCCTGATCATCAAGGTTAATACTTTTTCCAAAGGCATAACAAAGCATCCTTTCAGGTCACCACTGATTTCAAAATAAAACAAAGCAAAATAAGACTGTACTTTCCCGATTCAGTGTGTGAAAGGTTAACATCTGCTGATGCTCAGAGATGGGGGATGGGGTGGAGGAGGCGGGATGAGATGGGCGGTGAGACCACGTGGAGTCAGAGATCCCATGCAACACGCCACTGACACTCCAAACAGAAACACACCCAGCACCAGAGAGCTACTTTCCAGCCATCCATTTCTGAAACGTTGACTGCTCACCGGAGCAGCCCAGAGCTGTCCCCTGGGTTCCCTTTGCACTAAAATGCACATGCAAACGTCATTGTCAAGGCCTGAAAGGAGCACACGGAAGGGGTATGCACACAGTTAGACAAATGCCAAGGGGCCGTTAAGGCAGGAGGATTCCATAGTCAGTGCTGCAGGTGTCATTTGCGAGTGGGTAAAGCAGATGCCTTTATAAGATCCCGAGGAAGAAAGAGGCTGTGGCATCGGCTGGTATCTTGTGCACATTCCTAGTTACAAAGTGGCCAGTTTCACGGCATTTAACATGTCCAGTGCTTAACAAATCTGCGTCTAGGCCTGTTCATCAGCTTAAATAAATGGGTTGATTTATAAATTGGAAGACCTGACTGTGCATTTATAAGAAGGGGGACATTTTTTTATCCAAATTATCCGAGTATTGCTTTTCCGATGGTATTGCTACACCTCCCCTGTAACTGTTTACCATCATCACGCACTGCGCCTCCCCAGAGGCTGGAGGGCTGAGACCTCAACGAAAATTCTTCTCTGCACAATAACCTCTTCCTTCAGAGTCCTTAGCATCTAATCTGTTCACTGGGCAGTTGTTCAAGGCTTAAAAGTTTTATCCATCAAAGAGAAATACACAAAACGTGAGCTGTCCATCATATATAAAAGTATGTCAGGTCTCTGCTCTGAGAAATGAGGGGCTTCTTCTTAACGAGCTCTTCTGGCTTGGGGTTTTGCTGCCACTGCTTGCCCTGGGAGCAGGGAGCTACCACCTGGTGTCATCCATGAAAGCTGAAAATGCATGAAGCTGGTGGGGGGTTGGGGGAAGGTCCTGGGATGGTCCACATGGTCTCAAGAGAGTTCCTCTTTCAAATAATCCATTCTATCTATCTATCTATCTATCTATCTATCTATCTATCTATCTATCTATCTATCTATCT